TTTTTTTTTTTTTTTTTTTTTTTTCTTTCCTTTGAAGAAAGAAACTAAGTATTACAGTGAAGGTAATAGGAAGAAAAGGAGGAAACCTCCATAGCCATAGAGGTTACAGAAACTCTCCAACTGACTTCGACATCAAAGATCATAATTACAAAAGCTCTGAAAGAGACTACATCATCTAGAAACTCAAATAACGACTTTTAAAAGAAATCTAATGTAGTGGAAAACATATCTTCAAAGTTTCTTTTATTCCTTTCCAACCAATGGCCCAGAGAAGCACCGCCACCAAGAGCCTCCAGAAGGTCTTCCTCTTGGAAATCTCCATATGAAAGATACTTTGCACAAAGAAGTCCTTTATCGAGGGGTGGTACCCTAATTGTCGTTAGCAGCTTGAAGAGAAGTATTACACTAGGTCTAATAAAATGAACAAGTAACAAAGATGTGATCCAACGCTTCCTCCTCTTTTTCACAAAGATTTAATGAGCTATCATCAAATTTACATTTGAGTCTGACCTTCAAGAAGAGAGGCTATTCCCTGCTAGCCCATGCTGCTCCAGGAGAGCTAAATTGACTAGAACATAAGAGGGCTCTTTTCTTCATTTTAGAAGGGGAAAAAAAGGCAGGACTCTTAAATTAAGATTAGGTTTAACCAAATTCGTTGACTATGGGACAGGGATATGTCCTGTCTCCCTATTTGGGCCGCTAGTTTGGAGTTTTTCCACCAATGTATTCTATTCGGCACTGATTAATTCATAAAATGATAATGTATATCCTCCAGCGAATCATCATTTCTGTTGTTTCTATTTGCTTTTTCATGAAAGGGATGTCTTATTTAAGATTTTCCTAGTACATGTCTAGTTTATATATTAATCTTTTATTTCTCGCATTTCTCTCTAATTTACATTAATCATTGTCTCTAAAGAAGTTTTATACATGTGTGAAAGTTATTCATTAACGGTTATGAAACAAAATTCTAAGTGTCTAAATTGAACCACTTATGAAAGTTTAGGGTTTAAATTGATATAATTATTAGCTTGGGGTTTTGATTGATACAACCCCCAAAGTTTAGGAATATAATTTTTCCTATTCATGATACTGTCCTTTACAAACTCATAGAAGATTCAAGAACAATGAAAGGTCCAAAGAATAGATTCCAGACACTTCGTTTACTAGATGGTACTTCCAATAAATTCTCCTAATATAATTTAGAGAGCTGATAAACCATGGAGAACAAATACTACCTTGACCATCTAGCTTTATCCTCTATCAGCTTCCCCAGCTTGCTTCTTCTCTCTTCCACAAAACGCCGACATATCTGCTCAACATTAGTCAAATATACTCTAACAAGTTCTCTCCTATACTGACAATCAAGGCAACGAAAAGGCCGATCAGCTCTCTCCCTGCAAAAACAACAAAAAAAAAAATCAAAAGCATGAAATTGCAAACATATTTGACAACTCAATAGTCATAGGTATCATCTTGAAAGAGCAAGGCCACTGAAAACGTAAACATCCCCATTGAACTGAGGCCAGTATATGGTAGTCTAAAATATGAATAGATAAATAAGTTAACAAATTCATTTAACTAACTGGAAAAATGAAAATAAAAGGTGTGTGTAATAAGAAGGTAGCCTAAAATACACTCAAAGAACTGAAACTTCTTCATTTGGACCTTGTCGTGTTATGGACTTTGCATCTCAAAAATTCATTGATAAAACAGAAAGTTCATTGATCACTAATGGAAACATAACATGAAAAACTAGCAAACAAGGAAAATAGAACATCACACAGAAATTGCAAGAATCTATCGGCAAACAAAGATTATAAACCATGACTAGAAATTACCTAATCACTTGAACTTGTGCCTTTATTATGAGAGTGTCAGCGTCAATAAAACCATCTAGTACTTTTGAAAGCTCCATGAACTTTTTCCATCCCCAGTCATGTTCTTTCTTCCAGAACCGATGTAACGTATCTGTCCATTTTTTTTTTTTTTAATTTCACACGTTATGCTAAGTTGTAACAAGAAAAACTAGAAAAGCAATGCAACAAAACCTACCAGAATATTTTGATTTCTTTGGATCCTTATTCACCACTGCTATTGTAAACTGTGCAAAATGGCTCCAACCTATTTTGCAAGGGAAAGATATCCAAGGTAATTAAACAAATTGAAAACAAGGGTAGTACTTAATAAATACAATTCAAACAGGATAGTACCTGGAAGGAGTTTGTCATGATTTGCGACACAAAGAAACAGAGAGAGATGATTGCAGACATCACAGCCCTGAGGATAAATTAAAATGTACCTGCAACAAGATTGCATAGCTTATCAAACATAAAGGATGGTGGGGGACCAAGTTCCAACAACAATGCACATGACTCATTCCTACAAGATACAGACATAAATGGATAGGTGATATTAAAACATGGCATGAAAATTTTCTCATTTATACCACACAGTACAGTTCTTAGCTTTAGTTTTCCACTACCAAATTAGTCAGATCGAACCCCAAGAAGAGAAACTAAGAACAAAGCATAAGTCCATGATTGAAGATATATCATCCCAGAGAAAAGATCATTCCAGAAATGAAGGGATAAAAAGTCAGCATGTAAGCAGAAAGACGTGAAGATATCGGCTAGGAATTCCACGAAAAAAATGCACAAGACATACAAACAAGGAAATCATAAAATTTTAAACCTTCCGGAAGGGATAGAAAATTTGTTTCATAGATATCCTCATCCACATACCATTTGTAGCCCCCAACCTCAAAAGCATTACTTCGAAGTTCTCGTTTGTTAAGTTGAGAAAATTTATCTATCTTCCATGTATGTTTTCCATACAATTCTGATGGTTTGGGTCCTACAAAGAAATAGGAGAAAAAGATAAGTATATATTTTCATAGTATGAAGACATAATGTAGATCCAACCATCCGAGAATCAAATTATTGAAACAATACAACCAGAACAGTTGTCACTGAAGACCATAATACATAGAGTAAACATTAAAAAGGGAAACTGAATTAACTTTCTAATTTTACTCCAAGGAGCTAACCTAAGATTCAGGTCATGTACATGTCTGATACGAAACACCAATTGATACATTTCCATGCAGATTAAATACGTCAAAGTTCATTGTGCCATCGTTAGCAGTCCAAAGGGTCAATAATATTTCAGATCAATTTCCTAAGAATAATATCCTCCCTGATCTATGCATTAGTCCCGGCTTAATTAAGAGATTTCTAGAAGAATGTCACTGTCAGGCAAAGCACCTCACAAACCTAGGTATGAAAGAAGCATACCAGCCTCCTCCTCGTCGTCAGTATCCCAGTATGGTGGTGAAGTCGATGGTGTTCCATTTTCCACTTGTTCGGAAGACCTCCATTCAGCCAATGCTTCCCCAGACTGACTGTGATGCCCATTTGCAAAACTCTCCACGGACCTCATCCCTAAAGCCTCTTCACTAACAGCACCAGCCATCTTCCTCTCAGAAGAAAGAACTTTGTTCAGAACCTGCTCCTCTCCTCTCACTGAATGATGCAAAACACCACGAGAGATCAAAAAAACGAAAGCAATGACAATTAACACATACAGTCAATCCTTCCGCAGCGGAATAAAATCCAGTTTGGCACCAATACATAGTAGATGCAACGAATGTAAAATTCACAAAGCAGGTCGTGCATTGAAAATTGAAAAGGAAGACCGTACAACACCAATATCAGTTTTATCACCCTTCAAACAATGCAATTCCCAAAAATCATAATTATTTACATAATTTCTGTTTCAAATGAAACCAAACAGACCCAACTTCTAACAGCTGTGTAAACGAAAAAAAAAAAAAAAAAAACCTACCTGGTATAAACGATAGACCATTACACTCCGAAAGTTGAAAGATTCAGAAAGCTAATCAATAATTAAGGCAAACATAAATCTCAAAAGAAAAAGATGTCCCCGAGAAGCAAAGTAAAGGGCATCAAAACCTCAAAAATACGACAGGCGCAGAAAATCATGAACCCAGAAAAGAAAGGAAGTAATTGTCCGTATTATAGGCGATGATCGCAGATAAGCAATCCGAAGCAAAAACCCCGATCAAATTAAAACCCTACAAGCAGAACAAAAATCGGGGAAAAGAAAAATCCAAATGGGCGATATTCGATACGACATCGTGCAGATCAACTGAGCATACAAACCTTGAAGAACTGGCAGAGGTGCGAGAAAGGGCAATGGAAGCTGAGAGCGTCTTGGGGGAGGGAGAGAGAGAGAGAGATAGAAAGGGAAGAAGACAGAGATGGAAAGAGAAGTAGAGAAAATAGAGAAATAGGGAAGGAGGTCGAAGACGGAGCAGCAAGGAGAGAAGAGAAAAGAGATAGAGAGAGAGGTAAGGCGGAACCCAAAAACAAAATCGATTATTTTATAAATGACAAAATAAAAATAAAATAAATCCGTTTTGTCTTTAAAAACTTTTTTAAATTATTATGGAAATTAAATCTGAGTTTATATTTTTCTACAATAAGAAACTGCTGAGGAGATTGGCTGGTTTTTTGTTAAAAAGGAAAAAAAGAAAAAAAATGATTCGTTGTTAGGAATAGAATTTTATTACATGGAAAATAAAAAATAATAAAAAAGAGGAATATTATTATTTAGAATTATTGATATTAGGGTGGTGGCGGATGCGTTCCTAAACAAGGGTCGGTGAAGGGCGAGAGAGGGGCGGAAATGGCTTCCTCTGTGGACTCCATTGCAAAATGGGTTGTATTTGGGCGACTTTATTCCTGCTAGGGTTTTCTCATTATGGGCCTTTTCCTATTTTGGGCTCAATTGGGTTCTGTTTTTTCTCATTATGGGCCTTTTCCTATTTTGGGCTCAATTGGGTTCTGTTTTTTCTCATTATGGGCCTTTTCCTATTTTGGGCTCAATTGGGTTCTGTTTTTTCTCATTATGGGCCTTTTCCTATTTTGGGCTCAATTGGGTTCTGTTTTTTCTCATTATGGGCCTTTTCCTATTTTGGGCTCAATTGGGTTCTGTTTTTCTCATTATGGGCCTTTTCCTATTTTGGGCTCAATTGGGTTCTGTTTTTTCTCATTATGGGCCTTTCCTATTTTGGGCTCAATTGGGTTCTGTTTTTTCTCATTATGGGCCTTTTCCTATTTTGGGCTCAATTGGGTTCTGTTTTTTCTCATTATGGGCCTTTTCCTATTTTGGGCTCAATTGGGTTCTGTTTTTTCTCATTATGGGCCTTTTCCTATTTTGGGCTCAATTGGGTTCTGTTTTTTCTCATTATGGGCCTTTTCCTATTTTGGGCTCAATTGGGTTCTATTTCTATGATTTGGGTTATACTAAAATTGACCACTATACCTAAACACCCGGGTTCAAAATTAATTAAATCACGGATAATTTAAATAATGAAAACGGATTAAAATTTTGTAATTAGGCGGTGTTTAAAAAAGAAAACATACCATTAAATATGGTCGTGTGTGTTATTTTCCAGTGGGCTGAAATTCAAACACATCGCGCTGAAAGCAGGGCAAAGAGAAGTGGAATTGGAGGGGAAGCCAAACTTCAAACTGAGGAACAGCGCTCGTCCCAATTCCATTTCCATTTCTAATTTTCCCGTCTTAGAATCATCAATTTGGCGAAGACCTTCTCAATTCAATTACGAGGCATTTCTTCACTTCTTTGCAATGGAATCCTCTGCAATTACTCTCATCATGGTTCAAGGACCTCGCGAGGGTGAAACCCTACATTTTCCACCCGGAACGACGATTCGGATCGGTCGCGTTGTTCGGGGTAATTCCGTCGCTATCAAAGACGCTGCCATCTCCACCAAGCACCTCTCTATCGAATCCGAGTCCGTATCAGGCAAGTGGATGCTTCGGGACCTTGATTCTTCAAATGGTACTTTTGTTAACGATGCCAAGCTTTCTCCACACGATGCCGTCGCTCTAAGCGACGGCGACACCATTAAATGCGGCGAGTTGACCTCGATTTTGGTCAGAATAAACGGTAATGAAGAGTGTCGATCGAAGCGAAACCCTAGGCGGAAAGCTGCGGAGAAGTGTACAGGTTCCAATGTCGTGGGATCAGTTGCAGGAACTCGGGGTCGAAGAGGAAAGGCTGTGGGAGAGGTAAGCGTACTTGGGGTTTTTAATGAGGCGACGTTAGAGAGTGGAAGATGTTTAAGGCCGAGGAAGAGGAGGGGTGTGAAATGTGAAATTACTAACCAAGTAGCGGATTGCAAGAAAATTGAGGAGAATTTAGATTTGGTAAGAGGGTCAGAGAATGTGAACAATGTGGAAAATGAACCCAGCACAAAAATTACTAGAGGAAGCACCAGGAAAGCGAACAGCACTGTACGTGTGGCCACAGATTCTGTTCTTGGGAATGTTCCGGAGAACCCATGTCTGGGTGGTGAACTAAAGGCTGGGGCAAAAAAGACGAGAGCGGGAACTAGGGGAAGGAAGAAATTGCAAAATGAGCCACCACCCGATTGTGGTACAGTTATAAAATTGGAACATAGTGAAAGCGTCGAGCAGAAGAGCTTAGGAGAAAATAAACTGGTTGACGATGGAGAAGGTAAGAATAATGCGCATGTTGAAGAAGCCGGTAGTGGGTCTAGCCCTCAAGTGGTCTGTGATCGAGATGAAAACGAAGATGTGTGTATTATTTCAGAAGGTTGCGAAAAGGTTGCTGATGGGAGAGATTCACATGGTGAGGACATCCGTCGTAAGGCCGAGGAGGCGCCAGATTTGAAGAAGATGACACTTGGGGAGTGGTTTGATTATTTGGAAACTCACTTGCCTAAACAAATTATTGATGCCACTGAAGAGGTAATTTCTGGTATGAGAATTAAATCTGCACAAGTACGGGAGTATGTTGCACAGCAGAAGATTGAGAATAGCCGGGGAGGTTAGTGGAAGGAAAACACTGGCGTCGAGGTAACCTTTTTGCTTCCTTATTTGACTTAAAATTGTACATAGATTATTCTTAGTTTGTTACACACACCTTTTTGATCTTCTAATATATCATTTACTTGATTACTTTCATTTTTTGATGTATCATCTCTGATGTTCCTTATTTGATTGCTCTCATGTGTCAATCAATCTTTATGGCTTGGACTTACTGTGATTTAAGCATATAGCTTTAGTTGGACTGGGGACTGTAACCAGGGTGCTTTAATTTTTTTTTTTTTTTTTTTTTTAAAACCA